ACCACCCAGCCCAGCTCTATGCTCAGCACAGGTGAGGGAGAGGAATGGAGGGTCCCCTCCCAGTGCACAGGGGAGGGCGCTGTCCTGTTGGAACTGTGCATCGACTCTGGATCCCGGACATCCAGCTCAGAACACATCTGGGGAGAGAGTGGGGGTGGGTGACAGGAGAGAGGGTCAGCAGCAAGCCTTGAAGGATGGTGCCGCAGAGCATGCAGACCTGTGGCCTCTCCCTGAGCCCTGATGCATGGTGAATGGAATGGGGCACAGTCCCCTCGTAGGCCTCCCTCCTGGGACACCCTGGCCCTATCCCACCTCTCCAGGGTTAGCCGGCCTCACCTCTGCCTAGTCCCGAGGCCTAGGGCAGGCTGAGGCAGCAAGGAAGGGAGGAGGAGTGGGCTCCGGTTCCGAATCTGGATGGCCGGCCGAGAGGCTCCCGCCCCACCCAGCTAGCCTCCCCAGAAGACCTTATGGCCCTACGGGCCACAGCATCTTCCTCGCCACACTGAGGCCTTCTTGGGAAAGGAAGAAGGGAGTCCTAGCCAGACGGCAGTGAAAGCAAGCGATGCGGCCCACAGGGAATTGCAGAGAGGAGAGTGTGAGGAAGAAGCAGCAGCACCAGAAGGGAAGCAACAGAGACAGTCAGAGCTCAACACAGCACAGAAACCAGGGTGCAGGTGCCTGCAGCTGGACAAGGAGAGCTGAAGACTCCCCAGTGTAGCTGCCGACTCGGGCTCAGAGAACCCCAGGCCAAGTCCTCCTTCCTTGACATCATCAGCAACACAGGTGGCAGAAGACCTGGGCACAAAAGGCCTGTCCCAAACCACTAATGCCCCTTAGAAACCCCCTCATCATATAAGAAGTGCATCTGGCTTCTCACGTCCTCCCACAGCCCTGAGGCCCTCACCCTGGCTTCACCAGGGACCTATCAGTTCAGCAGAGTCCACACAAGTTCAGGGGACCTGGAGGGGAACCTGTAGGGCAGGGGTGGGGAATGTCCGGCCCATGGGCCTTATAAGGCCAGCGAAATCTGGTCTGGCCCTGCCAAGGCAACCACAGGCGAGACTCGAAATTCAATAAATCTAGGTTTCATAGCTAATTTTTAAGTTGATCATTTTGTATGGCCTGCAAGTGGTGTTATAAATATCCAAACGGCCCTTGGCAGAAAAAAAGTTCCCCACCCCTGCTGTAGGGGGAGCATGGAATTGGAGGGGCCAGTCCCTCTCTGTTCTGACAGTGAGCAGGACCCCAGGTCACCCTGAATTGGGGTGGGTTGAGCCTGGCGTTCAGAGGATGAGGCACCGAGAGGCTCTATCCTCCAGGGGTGAGCTAGGCTTGGCTGCGTCACCCCTTGCACTCTCATGAGTCCCCCCTAGGCCTGGATCTTGGTACTGGGCCTTGGGCTGCCCCTGCCGTCTTCGCTGTGCCTCCCGCCCACCTGCGGGTTTCTTCCCAGCTGCCTCCATCTCTGACAAGCTGTAGGCCATGGCGAGCTGCAGGTCCTCATCATCCTCGGAGAGATCGCTTTCAGAGGGGCGTGAGGCAGGGGTCCGCTGCACCTGCATGCCCCCAGATCTGGAGGTGACAGACTGTTGCTGCTCCCGACGGCTCAGCTCCAAGCCCAGTGCCAGGTCATCTGGGATACCTGCAGGAGTCGCCGCCACAATGACGCCCTCTGGCCCAGGCCAGGGAAATCCTGCCAGGCTGCCTCATGCAGCAACGGCTCTGGCCACTGCCAGCCCCTTTCAGAATTGGCATTCGTGAATTTGAACACCTAGCATAGTGGTTATGAGCGTGGGTAGGTGTTCAGCTCCAGCAGGTATGAGCTATCTCCTTGGGCAAGTTATTCCACCTCCCTGAGCCTCCCTTTCCTCATCTATAAAATGGGAATGGTGA